TGTATGGGTTCGACTTCCCCCGAGGCCACGAATTTTTCACAATTGGATCAACTGGAGAAATAAATTAGGTTCCAATAAAAAGGTCCGAGGTAGGACGGCAGTCTTAACGCAGAAAATTTTAAATTTTATTTAAACATTTAATTTAATTTACTAAAAAAAGTAATAGTTGCAAGAGAAGCTTCTATCCACCTTGTCTCTATAAAATAAGTTTGGATTTATAAGGAAATAAAAAATCACTGAAACTGTACATAATAATTTAGAAGGCATTTTTAACCAATGCGATTTTTGTAGACGGCAGTAAAGATGCGCATTCAAAGGCCAGCATCTTGCTGTTAGGGCAATACGCTGCGATTATGCTGCGCGATAATCGATCTTAAAATTCCCCCTCTTCAGTCTGACTGAGAACACTTTTCAAGATTTCAGTCAATTTTTCGGTATTTGTGTCATATAGGGGCAAAAATAGACAGCGTCGGGAAATATGTTGCATGTTACTGATAAAATGTTACTGAGAACAGACTTTTATCCTTGGAACGTAGAATGGCACTTCCAATCACAGCAGCCGGAAGGCGGTGCAAGTCCTGGATCATCGCAGGGTCGAAGGTTGTTCTTAGAGGCCCCTTGGCTGAACGACGGGACGGCTATTCTGGCAATCGGTACTACGCGCTCAATTCATTTCCCTCCTATTCGTAGGCTTGTGCAGATGATCTTACAGTTAGCAATGTGACGGCACTGCGAGTGGCCACCAAGCTGTGCGAGAGAGGTTCTTATCTCATCTGCGATAAGACGAACCCGCTTCGTTGGTAAATTCAGGAATGGACTCAGATAGTGCCGTCGGCCTTCGTGCTCTCCTCGCCTATACACCGAACGCCTTCATCTACATTCTTCTCCTGATTTTTCTACCACCTACTTGGTCGTCTCCTGTTTTCACTATCCACTGCGCACTACGTAGGGAAGGCGTTTACCAACTGGTGATACTATCTAGAATCCTAAACGTATCTTGACGAATATATGTAGCTACATGCCGCAAAGGTCGGGGTTTCATTTAATCAGACTATCCCTCGAGATTTTCATGCCACGCCTAATAGAATTCTGGAAGAGGCAAAATGAGCAAGTCCTTAAAAATTTGGACTGGAATAATTCTGAGAGTTAAACGCCTGTCTTGTACAAAGATGTGCGCAATTGCTTGAACAAGGGCTCCACTCGCATGCCGTTTCAGGGTCAAGCTACAATCATAATCAGGTATAGAATCGAAGATTTGGGTGGGCGGAAGTGACCATAGTGTTCACAGAGTAGCATTGGTATGCCTATGCAAAATTGTTGGTCACTGGGCCATGTAGCTTTAACTTACTAAAATACTCGCGGAACCTGATTTGTTAAGTTTCTTACGGTCTGTATTCCCTAGAGCAACGTCAGCCGTCCCAACGTAGCTAAGAAAGCTTCCTCTTGATTTTTTCCTTGTGCAACTAATGCTTTATTGGTGGTGAGACCGATATTGTCGTGAAAACTCCGGTTACAATAAAGTTAAGGGCTTACTGGGTCGATGATACAGTAGTCGCCGGTTATTAAGCCC